GGACAACGTGATTTAGTGCACACTCAACAAGTTTACTGATGACACCAAGGTGCGCGGTGCAGTTGATATGCTGGAGGGAAGGAATGCCATCCAGAGGGACCTTGACATGCTTGAGTGGTGGGCTGATGCCAATCTCATGAAGTTCAACCAAGCCAAGTGCAAGGTCCTACACCTGGGTCGGAGCAATCCCAGGCACAGCTACAGGTTGGGCAGAGAAGAGATTCAGAGCAGCCCTGCAGAGAAGGACTTGGGGGTGTTGGTCAATGAGAAACTCAACACGAGCCAGCAGTGTGCACCCACAGCCCAGACAGCCAACCATATCCTGGGCTGCATCAAAAGAGCGTTATCAGCAGGTCAAAGGAGGCCATCCTGCCCCTCTGCTCTCATGAGACCTCACTTGGAGTATCGTGTACAATTCATGTGTCTTCAACATAAGAAGGCCATGGAACTGTTGGAACATGTTCAGAGGAATGCCGTAAGGACTACAAGGTCGCTGGAGCACCTCCCATATGAAAACAGGCTGAGAAATTTGGAACTGTTCAGCCTGGAGAAGGCTGAGCGGAGACCTCATAGCAGCCTTCCAGTATCTGAAGGGGACCTGTAAGGACGCTGAAGAGCAACTCCTCAGCAGGGACTGCACAGATAGGACAAGGGATAATAGGCTAAATTTTAAGCAGGGGAAGTTTAGGTTAGACATAAGGAAGAAGTTCTTTAGTGTGAGGGTGGTAAAGTATTGGAATGTGTTTCCCAAGGATGTAAGGATGTTGTGAGTGCTCTATCCCTGGCAGTGTTCAAAGCCAGGTTGGACAGAGCCTTGGGTGACATAGTTTAGTGCTGTTGTGTCCCTGCCCATAGCAGGGGGGTTGAAACTAGATAATCTTAAGGTCCTTTCCAACCCTAACCATTCTATGATTCTATGACAAGGGGCAGAAATTATCATCTTTATAGAAACTGAAACCATAGTCTGCTGTAGAGAAGGCAGAATTTTCCCTCCTCATGGCAAGGTAACAATGTTCATTTGGAAATATCAAGTAGAAACCACAAATCTAATAACTACTGACCAACGTAAAACCAGCCACAGCCACCTTTTGCTGTTAAGATTCATATATTACAAGAATAAGCTTGAAGAGCACAAATTAAAGCAGCTGTTTTGAGCCTCCTTGTACTCAGCAATTGCAGCAGACTGTAAAAGAGGACAAAAAGCAGTTCTTTGGGGTAGTTGAAGACATTTGAAGTTGGTTAGTGATATGAAGTAACTTGAAGGGTCATGAAATGTTTACAGTAATTTTGTATCAACTGTTCAGTCACTTCACAATTTATTTTTGAGATATTTCACTATTAGATGTGAAAGAGATAAGAGACGGAAGGAGGACTGCAAGCTCCAATCCTCTGAAAAAATGTAGGTACTATCAAGTTGGATCATATTTTAATAGGACTAAGGAGATGCAGCACATTTACATTTGTTTCTGCAAAGACAACAGATCACTTCAACTTTTTTGTTGTTGCAACTCCCTGAATAAACAATTTAAGTACAAGTCACTAGAAACTGTAACAGACCTCTAGTTATATAGAAAAAATGGTGGTCACACAAGTGTTAGTCCCTATTCCCACACTTGGCACAAGGGAAATGCTGATGGATAACTAGCCCTGCTCCCAAGGAGCTCCCTACTTGCATGCCGTTATACAACCATGCCATTCCAGAGTCCCAAAGTTTCTCAGGACCTCAAATGGTGCTCATTTCTGCTATTTAACTTTTAAGGATGAGGTCAAAGAGGTTTTCACTTGAGAATATAGGAGCAGCATTCACACAATTTAACACACAGCACTGACTTCAAGTACTGGCTTCACATAGCTCAAGCTGTAGTAAAGCAACAAGAGTGATGAGAAAGTGCTGGCACTGGGGAATAAATTCTTTTCCAGTTCCAAAGAGGACAAAGAACACAGAACTCTTGGCAGGCAGCAGCCCACTGCCACTCACTTTCTCTTGACATCTGCATTGTTTGTTTTTTTCCTCCAAGGTGATGTTACAATACAAGTTACCAAATTATGTTGTGACAATACATCACAAGTCCACAGTGCTGGAATTTATTTGTGCATATTTAAACTGGGCTGAATGAAGAAAGACATTGTTTTCTCCACTTGCTTCATCCAACTCCTGTTTTAATCCAAGTGCTTACTCTAAAAGTAGCAAAATTACCCAGCTATCAACATAAAAAGAACAGAGTAATCTTAAAAAGGGAAACCTGTGTCTGTTCAAACAAAATGCATAATCAACAGACTGAAAGCAAAGCCACCTTTTTTTGTTCCCTCTAAACTATTCTGTACTTGGCAACCAGTATTCAACAAGTACTTTGTAAAGAAACAACCCTTCAAAGAGGTCAGAAAAAAAAACTAACAAAAAAAAACCAAAAAACAAACAACTAACAAACAAAAAAAAAAACAAAAAAAACAACTGTTCTGTGTGCCTTACTGCTGGCACAAGAGATGGTACAATGGATTGATATAGTGACAGTTTTTCAGCTACATAAACTGTGGGCTATTGTGAAGCTTTGAAAGCATACTCTAAAAAAATAAATATTCCTGCCCACAAAATTTTATCTTTTTTTTTACTCATCTTATTTTGGGAAAACTTGTATCTGATTTATTCTTCCCTTTCAAGCCTAGGGTCCATGCAGCCTTTGAATAAGGGAAGGTGCAAGTAGTTAAGCATCTGAAAGGAAGCTTTTTCTGGTTTTAATTATACCCTTCTATACTCGGCATGAAATCTTTCCTTCTATATTTTATTCACATAAAGGTTAAAACTGAAGAAAAAGCACTCCCATACCTTGTTCTTTCCCCTCAAAAGAAAATGTCAGGAAAAAGCACTGTCTTTGTGATAAACACATAAATGTATTGGCTTTTGCAAATCATAGGTGTGGTTATGTGGATATAACTGTACAAGTTCACAATAACAAACAAAACACACTAAAGACACAAGACTAGACAATAAGTTAAAAAGGTTCAGATCTCTTGATCAAAATGGAGTCACATAGCAAAAGAATTTGTAAAGGTAAATGAAAGAGGGGGGGGCTTGTTATAAGGTAAGCTAGTGCCTGGAAAAACATAGAGTTAAAGTACTTTTTTAGCTTAACTTAGGTTGTAGAAAGAGAACAATGTTTATGTTCTAAGTCTGTGGAATGTGGTGGCCGCACTAAACATGAATTAATTGTTTCACACTAGTCTTCTAAAGTATCTTTAGTTTTAAAGAACAATGTTTGTGTTGTAATTCTGTGGTGAGATAACAGGATTTAGTGGCCCCACTAAACGTTAATGAGTTATTCCACACCATCCTTCTACTTATCAGTTAGTTTAGAGACAGAGCCTCCCAAATATCTGCTAGCTTGGGATACTCCTTGTCTGCCCATCCTGCAATAAATTTTGCAGGCAGGTCACACTGTTTTAAATCTTTGCTAGTTATCAGAATAATTACAGATGTAGCTGGTTGTGTGATTACTGGGGGGTCCAACTGTGCCAAAGGTGAAAAGTACACTGTGAGGAAGACTGCTTACTTCATCTTGAAGACCCCAGTCTGCATGAGGAAGACTGTTTACTTCACCCTCAAGACCCCTGCCCACAATCACCTCAGAGCAGTGTGCAGACGCCAAGAGGAGGAGACTTACGATAATAAATTCTTGCAGCTAGTTATAATATCCCCCGCCTATATGCGGGAATTTTGAATATGCATGTAACTAATGTAATACTGAAAGTATATAAACCTGTAACAAATACTCATCACTTGCACCTCTGGCTACAGTCATACGCCCAGCACTGTTGCTTTTGCTTTATTGACTTTGTCCCTCAATAAAACCTTGTTATCTTGTTTAGAAGAGTGAGTTCATATTTCACAGTCTTTAACATAGGAAGGGAAGATTAAGAGAAATATAAAGTTTAATAATACTCATTTAAATTCTACAATTAAAGCAGCAGTACTCAAACCATTATAAAAATATGTATTCAGGGGAAGACTGAGAATAGATTTCTATCTCAGTCTGAAATTCAATACTCAACAAAATCTGTATTGAGCCCTCTGAAAAAGCTTTATTTAGGATCCTACTTCAACAGAGGCATTTTCATAGCCTTTAAGTATACACCACCTTTCCTAATAGAAGGTTAACACAGTTATTTACTGATTGATATCATGTATCCTCAAAAGATAGAGGCTGTTTAACTGATCACATACCCCCACCTCACTGGTACTTAGCTTGAGCTTTCAAGCAGATTAAATTCTGTCAAAAATACAGTTTAACTCCCTTAAATTGCAGAAGGCCAAGAGCACTTGAGCATTCAGTAACATACGTAATTATTAGCAGCACATCTTAAAATAATACTGTCTAGCTTAATTGCTGGCAGCTGAACGAACAAACAGCAATTTAATGACAGTGAACCACTAAGATCCCGAGAGATTCAGGGTGATGGGCAACCACGATATTTCTTCAAGTTTAGTATCAAAAATTCAAAGTGTTTGCCATCACAGTTGTCTAAACAAAACTCAGACTTGCCAAGATGCCTTTGCCACTGGAAAGCTACTCCCAAAGCTGATTCTCCTCTCCAACTTCTTCCAAGAAAACTATTAAAACAGATGCTTGCTCCTAAATCTAGATATACTATATGTTTGCTTCCTCTACTAAATCACTGGTCTTCCACATAACTGGCAAGACTGTCCCCTCAGCAGATGTACTGCCAGAAGCAATCAGTTAAGGCTTGCACTGCTGCCCGTTGATCAGCTTGTGACCCCCTTCCCATTTAAAGGTCACAAGCCCATAAAAACCCCATGCATCCCCTCTTTCTGCCCTCAATTGACTATCCCTATCATTAACCAAGCAAGTGGTCACCACCAGTCTAAGAGCTCCCATTTACCACTAGAATGCCTGTACTAAGAGAATGGTTTAAAAACACAGCTAAAGACACAATCTAGTGCCCTGCAGCAGTGCCATCATGGTGTGCAAAAGCAGCATACCCACCTTATGGCAGCCAGGATAGGTTGGCATAGCATCGAGGGTAGAGGTGCTGGGATTCTTGCTGGTGCTGGCCATGATATTCTGGATCTGGGTGAGCTCTTGCCTCAGGACCTGTTTCTGGTGGAAGCTGAAAGCAGGATGGTTGGATGCCATTGTAAAGAGCAACAGGAACTCGTCCCCTGTGCGGCCGTCGTTGAGTTGTAGCCCATAGTTGTTGATGACCGAATCGATGTGGGTGAGGGTACGGAAGAGGACTCCGGCTGCCTCACGGTGGGCAGACCCGAGCAGGGCGAGAGACACCAGAAGTTTGCTGCGTACCACCTCGTCCGTCAGGTTGGTGAGGCTCCCCAGGTCGGCGGGGTTGTTGGCCTTGATTTCAGAGTCACGTAGGGAGTGGTAGTCCTTTCGGGCCAGGTCCTCCAGGCAGGCGCCCAGGAAGCGCAGCTCCAGCGGGATGCAAAGGTCCAGGAGGCCGCAGAGGAACTCCACACGCTGCGGGGAAGGCAGCTCAGAGAACCAGCGGTACACACCGTCCCGCTGCAGCCGCGGGCACCGCTTCTCCACCATGGTGCTCCGCCTTTCCCCAGCCCGGAGAGCGCACACCCTGCTGGAGGCCGCGGCGGCGAAGTCAGGCAACAGCGCCCCGAGGAGGATCCGTAAGACCGGCGCCTCAATACCCCCGAAGCGTCCCCCTCCGCGCTTCCGCCCCCCTGACAAGCCTGGCCCCTGGGTGGCCAGGGGGGCCGGTAGCGAGGAGCGCGGGGGTAGCCCCAGACGGCAGACAGGGACAGGCCACCGAGGGCGGCCACCGGCGGCGCAGAGCCCGAGCGCTGAAGCGTGGCCTGGCCGCAGGGTCCCTACCCGGCAGGACCTGGCCGCCTCGAGCAGGTCTCTGGGCTCCCACGCTCTCCCTCCCTCACCGGGAAGCTCCTTCTCTCAACCGGGCGCCAGCTGCCTCCATTCGCCACACTGGGCCCTACCAAAACCGCCGCACCGCCGCCACAACAGCGGGAAATAATCCCTCGCGGGAAGGCAGCAAGCAGGCGGAGGGGGCCGGGGCTGTACATTCACCGCCGGCTAATGGCGGAAGGATCCCACAGTGAGAAGTCACAACCGGAAGCGGAGCGGCAGAAAAAGAAGGAGCGCCTGAGCACCTTCACTCCCGGCCTGACCCTGCGGAGGACCATACCCACCGCCCCAGCGATTAGCTGAACCGTCTACGCACACCTGGCGCTTAGCTACCAGCACACCGGCCCTACGCCCTTCCTCGCGTACAGAAACAGGGTCTCGGAGATTTGTCAATCACTACCTTATAGCCCCCCTCTTAATCCCGCCCCTAGCACTGATTGGTGCAGGGATGCGGTATGGCCGAGATGCTGCTGGGTATGTGATGCCAAAATCCTGATAAAGCTTTTGGTACCAGCATTTGCCTGAACCAAGCCGTGCTATGCAGTCAAAGCCAATTGGGCAGTTGACTTCAAATTATCTTTAAAAAATGTGGAAATAAGCGACACTAAAAGGCCTCTTCAAATGGTGATATTCCCTCCCCCCCTTCCCACTCTAAACTGGGATTCTGGTTAACATTTTGAAACAGCTTTATCATCTTCAGATTTGCCTAAGGGTTGCATGGATGGTATTGTGATAAACACATAAATGTATTGGCTTTCGCAAATCATAGGTGTTGCTATGTGGATATAACTGTATGAGTTTGCAAAGCTCGCTAAAGACACAAGACTAGACAACAAGTTGAAAATGGCCAGAACTCCTGAGCAAAATGGAGTCACATAGCAAAAGAATTTGTAAAGGTAAAAGAGAAGGGGGAGGAGCTTGATATGAGGAAAGCTAGTGCCTGGAAAATATATGGTTAAAGTACTTCTAGCTTAACTTAGGTTGAAGATGTTTGTGTTGTAAGTCTGTGGTGAGGTAACAGAATTTAGTGGCCCCACTAAACATGAGTGAATTACTTCACACCATCCTTCTACTTATCAGTTAGTTTAGAGACAGTGCCTCCCAAACATCTGCTAGCTTTGGATACTCCTTGTCTGCCCATCCTGTTTTGCTTGCAATAAATTTTGCTTGAAGGTCACACTGTTCTAAATCTTTGACAGCTATCAGGAAAATTACAGATATGGCTGGTTTCAGCTAGTTTTGTGATTACTGGGGGGTCCAACTGTGCCAAAGGTGAAAAGTACACTGTGAGGAAGACTGCTTACTTCATCTTGAAGACCCCAGTCTGCATGAGGAAGACTGCTTACTTCATCCTCAAGACCCTTGCCCACAATTACCTCAGAGCAGTGCGCAGACGCCAAGAGGAGGAGACTTATGATAATAAGTTCCTGGAGTAAGTTATAATATTCCCTGCCTATACACGGGAATTATGAATATGTATATGGCTAATGCAATAGTGAAAGTATATAAACCTGTAATAAATGCTAATCAGTGTGCCTCTGTCTATGGTCACACGCCCAGCACTGTTGCTTTTGCTTTACTGACTTTGTCCCTCAATAAAACCTTGTTATCTTGTTTAGAGGAGTGAGCTCGTATTTCACAGTATCCAGCAGCCAACAGACTGACACATAATTTCTTTTTTTTCCAGACTGTTTTTCTATGGGACTTGGCTGTATGTCTGCTACAGCCCGGTAGCCAGACTGCGCATCAGATAGATAAATGATATGGGTGGTGATCTTTAAGTGGAGCAGGCCAGGAATAACATTTTTAAATGCAGCCTCAGGCAGGCAAAGAATGATTCCAGACTTGATTTTTATATGATGGCAATCTTCTTGGAAGACGGAGTGTTTTTTATTTTAGCAAGTGCAATATTGCTTCAAGGCAGATAAACAAAAGACCTAACACTAATGTTTTTAGGAGCACAACTGTATTTTGCCTTGGGTTTATCTTTATGGGATAAACATGGTGCCTAAATGCAGACTGCTTTCTGTCACGAGTTATGTGAACATTTGTGTTGGTATCGTATAAGAAGAAAAGGCTTATTCATTTGGGTGATGGTTTATTGGAAACCTGATTATGCACCTTGCTAAGATGCACCACAAAAATTCCAGATGCTGGTAGTTTATCCTTTTTTATTTCCCTGTGGAATATCTTACACCATCAACTGCATTTATTGAAGCCATACTTAAATGGAAGAGTAAACAGTCAAAGGACGCTTACTGGGGCTGCATAATGTCATATATTGTAAAGCTACACAACTCTGCTTCTGTGTTGCAGACTCCTGCCGAGAGAGGGTCTCTCTCCACACAGCCTCTTTGTGTCCTTTCCTTGTAGCGATCCGAAAACTGAGTGCAAACCATATGTGCTTCCTTTTCCTGCCATGCCCAGTATTGTCTGTTGGAGGAAGGGATAATGAAGAAAACAGAGGAAGTGCTCTCAGTCCCTTAGGAAAGGTTTGCATTGATTTGCAGCAGTAGACATAAGGACACCAAGTTCTTTGGTGGCTTTTCTGTTTATATTGGTGTCTTTTTCCTAGCATTAATCCATCCTGAAAGTGCTGCACTGTGCTTAAAGTCAGGTATCTGATTATTACCTTGTAGGCTTAAATTATAGGTTTAAACTAACAATAGCGTGTGTGGCTTTAAACTAACATAGTAAAATACAACAAACTGCTCTAACTTGCTAACACGTAGGTAGTAAAGAATGTCCAGTTGATGGGCGAAGGAACATCATGGGACTGATAACAACTAAGGAGGCAGTAAATAAGACCAAGGATGCCAGCCTTCATAATAACAGACACTGGAACAGAACAGAAGCAAGGACATATGTGGAGACAGTGTTCTCACAGGAGAATGCATAATTGGTACATAAACTCTGAAAATCCTGAAAGATACAGCAAGGCCATGAGAGGCCCGAGGAAGCCTAAGCAAGCAAGATAAGAAGCAGCTGGATTTCACCAAGTTAATGAGAACTGTGGACTGTTGGCAAGCTTTGGAGGTCAAGTTCCCACACCTGTGATTAACCAATTATATGCTAGTTGCAAAGGGTCTTCAAGACATGCATCCAATCATAATATGCCAAATCACTGTAAGTGCATGTAAGAAATAGTATTTAAGGGGTTAAGGCTTTGTAATAAAGGGCTTTTTGTCTGATCATATTGACCCCTGACTGAGTCCATATATTTTCTGTGGCAACTGGCACCCGAACAGGGACCCCCCATATTTTTCATATTGAAGCTGAAAGAATTAAAGCGTGTGGCACCGAAGAAAGTGGAAAACGCAGAGCCGCAGGGACGTTGGCTGGGTTCGATCCAGCAGGACCAGGATCGGGAGGTAGTCACCTTGGAACGGAGCCTAGTGAGCCCGGAAGACACTGCGCAGTGGAAATAAGGTAACAGCCGACAGGGGTTGGAAGAGGGTTAGGATGGGAAAAAAAAAAAAAAGGTCATCCTTAAGCTCTTCCAGCGTATCCTCTCAGTGAGAGGGATAGAATATGACAATAATCTGTTAAAAAGATTGTTGCTCTGGAGTAAAGAAAAAGAGCTGATTCGGAGGGGTTAATGAAGCTTTTGATCTCGGGACTTGGAAAATAATTGGGGCATGCCTGTGGGATCAAGTTACTTGTGGGTTTAAAGAGGCGAAGTCTCTTGCTGCCCCCTGGTTACTACTAAAAGGGACTCTAGCCGCAATGAAGGCTGAGAAACAGGCAGCAAAATCTGTTTTTACAGCTCTCTCTGACTCGCCTTCACAACAGCAGGGCTCGGCACCTACATTAGATTCAACACCCGGTGCTACAGCCATGGTAGTGTCGTCTGCTTCAGGCATAAAACATTCTGGCCAAAAACCGGCGTGCAGTACAGTACGAAAGTTTGAGGACCCTGCGCCTTTCCCCTATCCTGTGTCAACAATGCCTTTACCGGCGGTAGCTCCAGCTGATACTTGGGAGTCAGTAGCGGCTACTGAGCAACCGAAACAAACTGATGTTAACCCTTTCCGTGCTGCTACTGCCCCTGAACTTAGTCCCCAAGAATTTTTGCTGGGGTGGGAGTCTCCTGAGGAGGAGAGTGTAACTCCTTCACAGCTCCTACATTTTAAAAGTGGGTTTGAGGAGCTTGCTGCAAGGGCTGCAGATGAGAATTCAGAGTGTAATCCTCATCACCCTTTGCACGGTGTTTCACCTGAAATGTTATTGGGAAAGGGACAATTTCACCCTGATGGAGTACAAGCTCATATGAAAATTGAAGTTTTACAGCAAGCACAGCAATTGGCTTTAGCTGCTCTGAAAGCTGTGCCAGAAGCAGGAAAGCCTAATCCTTCATCTACATCAGTAAAGCAGGGACCTGCTGAGCCCTATATGCGATTTATTGACAGATTGACAGAGGCTATCGAAAAGAATATTGATCTGGCATCTAATGCTAAAGAATCGATGCTTATGTCTCTGGCTATGGAAAATGCTAACCCAGCTTGTAAGAGTATTTTGCAGGTTTTGCCAAAATCTGCTGGTCTTCAAGAAATGATGGATGCATGTTCTAAAGTGGGCACAGCAGAGGAAAAGGCTGGATACATGGCTACTGCCTTCGCCGCTGCTGCTAAACCACTTCTACAACAAGGTCAGGGTGATCGTGGGGGTACTAAAGGTATGAGATGTTATAATTGTGGACGGATGGGGCATTTTAAAAAGCAGTGTACTGTAAAGAAAATCAGTTCAGAAACCCGCCCCCCTGAGTGTGGTGTTACTGATTTTGCAGACAAATGTATTAAATGTGACAAATTTGGCCACAAGACAATTGAATGTCGTTCAAAGTTTAAAAA